ACAGTCAATCGGTCCCGAGGTCGTGTCTCTACGCAAGACCGCAACGTCACCCGCCAAGGGCGGTCAAGCGAGCCGAGAGCCTTGAGTGAGACATAGGATGGAGATGCTATACCTCGAAGGTATGGTTGTCTCACTTATATATAGAAAATGAAAAGAACATTCTACACTATACCATGGAGCCTACTGCATGGAGTTCCGATGAAATTGTGGCTTTTCAGGTACCGTCTGACTTGGATGTATCGCGTGTCCCGTGTCCAGGCTCGGGACTACTGGGAATCAAAGACAAATTTACACCAATTTGTGACTATATTTGTGAATTCAGAGAGAGGATTTTGCCTTGAATTACACAGGTATGAGAATAATATTGTAAACCCAGGAATATTCAGTAGAATCAGTAGAAAATCATCAAATGAGTGTGATCAATATAAGGCTTGGATTGGTTTCCCCCGGTGTCAGTGCTGATCATTAGAAAGTTTGATTCCTCAGGCGCCAAGGCATTAAGTTTTACCGCCAAGGCATAAGTCAGGTGATCTCCACTCCCAGCCTACCCTAATCACATGACCCCCGCACAACCTAAGCGAGGCACACCAATTTCTTTCTTGGATAACCGGAACCTCATCGACGTTCAACCACCAAACGACAACCCGGTCATTTTCCCACGAACCCCTCCCGCACAGTCAACATGTCCGACAACGGGGACGTCGAGGTCGCCGCCTTCCCTGTCCTGCCCAAGGAGGTTCTGGCCGAGCAGGGCAGCATTAAGCTGTTCAACAAGTGGAGCTACGATGATGTCGAGATTCGGGACATTTCCCTGACGTGAGTCTTTCTATCAGGTCCTCTATGCGCCGAGTGAATTCCTGTTGTGTGCGAGAAAAAAAAAGAGTTGAATTGGTGGAATATCAAGACTTTTTCGACAACTTGAAGGGGGATCTCGAAATTCTATATCGGAGGAAAATACAACACGCCATGGGACTGGTTTTCTCTTCGCACACATCAGGAAATCAACAGCGCACACAAGGACCGGCAATTGCGCGACATATCAGGTTTACAGAGGTGCTGACCCGACATCACAGCGACTACATCCAGATCCGCTCCCCCGTCTACCTCTCCCACTCTGCCGGTCGCTATGCCGCCAAGCGTTTCCGCAAGGCTCAGTGCCCCATCATCGAGCGTCTCACCAACTCCCTCATGATGAACGGCCGCAACAACGGAAAGAAGCTCCTGGCTGTGCGCATTGTCGCTCACGCTTTCGAGATCGTATGTGCCACTCCGACCGATTCAACTCCAACTCGGGCACTAATATCCAATTCTACAGGTTCACATCATGACCGACCAGAACCCTCTCCAGGTCGCCGTTGACGCCATTGTCAACTGCGGTCCCCGTGAGGATTCCACCCGTATCGGTTCCCAGGGTACCGTCCGTCGCCAGGGTATGTGAAAAGTCTTGCTTCTCGCCACTGATTCAAATACTAATTTCTACTCCAGCCGTCGATGTGTCTCCCCTCCGTCGCGTGAACCAGTCTATCTCTCTGCTCACCATCGGTGCCCGCGAGGCTTCTTTCCGCAACATCAAGAGCATTGCTGAGTGCCTTGCTGAGGAGCTGATCAACGCTGCCAAGGGTTCTTCCAACTCCTACGCCATCAAGAAGAAGGACGAGCTCGAGCGTGTTGCCAAGAGCAACCGGTAAAGGGGTTGTGTTGGATTTGTTCTCCGTTTGGTCCTCTGTTTGCGTATACTGGAGTGGACGGGGTTTTAACCGGGATTCAGTGGATTCGCATGCATCTGCAAGGCTGTACATAATGTGATACAGTCAAGGAGGAAGCACGATCTTAAAAGGGAACGCATTCGGACGGCTTTCTTTGTAGTTGTGATGCGATCATGAAGACCTTGGGTCGTAAAGACCTATTTCCTAAAAAGAAAAAATTTCTTTTATTCGCGTTTTTGAATGAATCTCGCAATATAGATTGTAGAATAATATACATGATTCAAATGTCTTAAAAACAAATTATCTTGTTTACTTTGATAGTTCTAGCCAAATCAGAGATATTGCCAAGATTGAGATTTTCCATCGCTTATCGATACGGAGAATACGGAGAAAAAAAGTTTCGGACCTCAACACACCCTTCCCAACCACCACATTCTTATTTCCACCTTCAAAATGGTGAAAAGAAAGCTTGGAGCCTTGGAAAAGGTCGAGGCTGACCTGTATGTACATCTTGTCTAAGCCCACGCGCCCATCGTCAATCCAGCAGAGGCTTCAGTCCGTGAATGCTAACATCTTTTCTTTGCGATTCTCAGGCCCAATTTGCAGCACAAGATCCGCAGGGATCCCAAGTAAGTTATATGCAGAGATTTCTATGATCTATTACACTAGATCGGGGGCTAATTGCCGCTTCGCGCTATTAAGGTCTTATATTGAAGATTTCCGCGCCCAACACTACCAATATGAATCCCATCGTGAGATTTTCATGGCGGCGCCCTCATCCGCCACGGATACCGGTGTGATTTCTCTTCGGGATCTCATTGACTTCATTTCCCATGTGGCCGATTGTTACCCAGGGATCTGCAAGGACTTCCCGCAACAGCTCATTGACATGCTGATGCAGCACCACTTGGTATTGGAGACAGAGTTGCGGGAGAAGCTCGTTGGAAGTTTGGTGCTCTTGAAGAAGAAGGATCTTGTCGATTCAGCAACGTATGAAAGTCCACTCATTAATTTTTCATCATCGATTCTAACCAGTACTCCAGGTTGCTGCACACTCTCTTCCCCATCCTCGTCTCTACACCTAGCAAGACCCTGCGCGCTTTGCTCTTCCAGAAGATTCTCTCTGAGCTGCGAACTGCAAATTCAAAGACCACTAACCACAAGTTGAACCGAACTATGCAAACCGTTCTATTCAACCTGGTCACATCAGACCGCACATCGGCTAAAGGCCTGTGGGCGATCAAGATCACCAGAGAGCTATGGAAGCGCCAAATCTGGACCGAGGCCAAGGCCGTTGAGGTCATGAAGGAGGCAGCATTGTCACTAAATGAGAAGGTCGTCATCGGCGGAGTCCGTTTCTTCCTCGGTGGTGATAAGGAGCGTGAAGAATTGGAAGACGAAGACAGTGATGAAGAGGTCAGCGTTGGTCAAGTTAAGCACCAACTTACCATCAACAAGAAGACCAGAAAGAAGGCCCGTGTTGCCGAAAAGGCCATCAAAGCAGTCAGAAACAAGGAGCGCAAGAAGGGAAACCCTAATCCCCTCAACTTCTCCGCGCTTCACTTGCTACATGATCCTCAGGGATTCGCAGATAACATGTTCTTCAAGCATCTCCAGAACGGCAAGTCCAAGTTGAACCTGGAGCAGAAGCTCCAAGTGCTACAGTTGGTCTCCCGTCTGGTCGGCTTGCACAAGTTGCATATCATGCCCCTCTACTCTTACTTCCAAAAGTACCTTACACCCCGTCAGCCCTCAGTGACTTCATTCCTGGCATCCCTGGCCCAAGCCTCCCACGACTTGGTGCCGCCTGATGTTCTCGAGCCTCTCGTTCAGAAGATTGCGAATGAGTTCGTGTCTGAAGCATCTGCAGGTGAAGTTGCGACCGCTGGTCTGAATGCTATCCGTGAAATTTGTGCTAGACAGCCTTTGGCTATTGAAGAGACCCTGTTGCAAGATCTTGTCATGTACAAGAAGAGTAAGGATAAGGGTGTCATGATGGCCTCCAAGGGTCTCCTCAGTCTTTACCGTGATGTTGGTGCGCAGATGTTGAAGAAGCGTGACCGTGGCAAGGAGGCCGCAATGAGTCTGCGCGCTGGTGAAAGGCAAGAAAGACGTTACGGTCAGCAAGAGGCTGGCGAGATCGAGGGCCTGGAACTCTTGGCCAAGTGGAAAGACGAGGAGCGCCGCAAGAAGAACATCGAGAATGGTCTTCCCTCTGATGCCGAAGATGATGAAGTGGAAAACGACGAAGCCGACTGGGCAGCCTGGAATGTCGAAGATGACGATGACAGTGATGTCGATGGAGAATGGATCAATGTGGAGGATGATGTTGAGATTGTGCTGAGCGATTCTGAGGATGAAGGCAAGCCGGCAGCCAAGAAGGCCAAGCAGGCAGAAGAGGCCAAGAAGGACGCTGAAAAAGAACCTGAAGCCGACAAAGTCATTGACTTCATGAAACTGGCCACCACTCGCATCCTCACGCCCGCCGATCTCGCCAAGCTTACCGAGCTTCGTGCCCAGGCAGCCGCTGATGCAACTCTTCCGGGTAACAAGGGCCGTGTCGCTGCCCCATGGACCTCTCGCCATACCGATGATCCATTGACTGCTGGTGAGATTGAGGGTCTTGCCGCTCTGTCTGCCGCTAGGGCTACCCGTGAGGAACGTATTGCCCACGCCAAGGAGGGCAAGACTTCTGATCATATGAGCAAGGAGGCTCGCCGCAAGGAGCGCAAGGAGGAGGCAGGAAAGAGTAGTACCAACAAGGAGAAGGCTCGCAAGAAGAACTTCCTCATGACGTTGGGTAAGGCTCGCAGCAAGAACAAGAGAAGTTTGGTGGAGACCCGCGCTGTACTCCGGGCCCACGTCGATCGTGGCAAGAGAGGCGGACGCAGAGGAAACGTTGGCCAGTAGGCCTTTTATGTCCTTTTTTAAAAAATAATGATTGTTCGTTATATACAGTACTTTACCTTTGTTGCACGGATATATAAAGGGGATATACTATCCTTTACAGTCTTTATTCCAATATAGAAAGACTAGAAAGATACTTTTTTATATAGAGTAGTTTATACGATGCTCATTAATTAAATGGACGTGTGAGTGGATCAACGCGTACCGCGTTAAGTGGGCGTTAAGTGGTCCCGTTGCCTCAGCAGCCTCGTTATCATTTTTGCATTTTCTCTTTTCCTTTCCCTTCACACTACGTCACTTCCTCGTGGGCTCAAAACTACCCTAACATCTGAAATCCCACAAATCTTTCTATTCACATATCTCCGAGTCCTAAACCCCTTTTTCAAAATGCCCTTTAACCCGACGCCCAGCGACTTGTCGAAGCGCCGACGCTTCCAACCTCCTATCACCACGTTCTTCACCTCTGCCTCGGAGCCAGTGTCTTCAGATACACCTGCAGTGTCACACCACCATCATTACGCCGCAGAGACCTTCTCTGCCCACCCCGTTGTGCCCGCCAAAGTTCAGTCCTCACTTCTGTCCGTCGGAATGCGGGTCCGGAAATCTGTCGCAGACGGATATAGAACCCACATGTCCAAGACAGAAGAAAAGGCCCCACTTCCTGCAGTTGCTCAGACCCCTCGCGCTCAACCCTACTATGGCAGCAGACGCTCCGAGCTGCCGCCATTTTCTGGCGCTGGTAAATCCTCCTTCAGCCACGATGACTACCTCGTCACCGACGATGGCGACGCATACTCGATCCCACCAAGCAGCCAAGACTCGGATTTGTCGTTTGCCTTGGGTGGTCAGAAGCGGGCTTTGGAATTAGATGGCGATATTCTTGTCGATGAGGATGTCGACGAATCAGTCAACAATTTCGGTGGATCCTGGCGCGAGAACTCATACGGACGAACTATCCTGTCCCCGAATTTGGGCCAGAGTCGCCGCATTCTTGCTGTGCGTCACAGCAAGATTGAGCAGCCTACCATGGATATGGACGATTTTGAAGAGGCTACCTTCCTCCGCCGCCGCGAGGAAGTTGATGCAGAGGATGTGCGGATGTACGGTGCTTGAACTGTTGGTTCTCGCTTTTCGTTTTCCTTTCCTTGCGAGCTACTGCGTGGCATGACCTACTATCTTCTTGCTTTTCCTTGGGCCTGGATCGGCTTGGTTTCTTTTACCAGACTTCTATTATACCCACTGTTGTTCTATGTACCATATTGTCTTGTATCATTATCTTTTCCATCTGCAGAGCAGTGAATGTAATTTATCAAGATTATTACTTTATTCCTTTAGATGCTAGTCATCCTTAAGCTAGTCAACTTCAGGATCTACTCTACGGGAGGGTCCCAGAGACCGAGTACCTGGACATCATCAATGTAATTGATGATATATCTTAGACTGAGCCTAACATCAATATACCAAAGTAGAGCAACTATATAGCCAAGGATACATATTTGGTATACAAAGCAAGATTCACCAAATGCAAGATATATCCCTACGTTCCAAACTGTAGTCCCATCAGTCCAAGTCACCAACCTAGTAATCTTGCCCAGTATACTCGAATCTTCAAAAATCTCGGAAGCCGGAGAGGAGGATGGGTATCTGATAGTACCGAAATAGTTTTCTTTCTGCGACGATATTTCTCATTTTCGAGGACGATAATTGTATCCTTCAAGGTAGCGCCAAAATTTATATCAACTTCGTCCAATTGTCCCAACTCAATATCTGGGTATTCTTGCGTATCTTTGAGATCTTGATCTATTTGATATCGAATGTGAGGATTTATCCAAGTGTCACTGGAGGCCATTTGAGCAGGTGTTTAGAGAAAAGAAAGAGAAGTCTGTAGTACATATATATATATGTCTATATGTCTATAAATTCACTCCGATTGCTCCTTTTGCTCACGGACTATTAAGGTTTATAAGATCCATGGGCCAAAGCTTTCCCGGAATGGAAATACCCATAAGTCGTTCCTTCCTTGGATACTGGAAAGAATGTCCCCGGTACCTATAACTCTGATCTAGGTCCATTTCTCGACGTCAAACGGTACGGCATGATACCTATTAAAGAAACCATGGGGATCATAATCATTCTTTAGCTTCGTAAGACGTTCATGACGCCAGTGTTGATTTCCATAAAGTGCCGACAGCGGTTCATCATAATGGGCATAGTTCTGGTAGACGTGGAGCTCGTCATATCTAGAGGTAGCGGCGAATTTGTCTCGCCAAAAGCGGAGAAAATCATCAACTGACTTTGCTACGCTATCATCCGTGTATAGTCCGATGACTTCAATGACGTTGTGAAAATATCTGCGATGGGGAAAGGCGGAGTAGTCCTCGCTGAGCGCTTCGATGCCCTGGACCGGGTAAGTCTCGATGATCAAAGATGCGTTGACCGTAGGGTGCTGCTGCATGAACTTTTCGGACTCGTTGCTGAATTCGACCCAAATTGGCGAATCGAGAGTCCTGACATTTGTGGTGTATAGATTGTACCGTGGGCCAGATGTGCAGAACAATGGGACGTAGCCGAAGAGAGTTTTGGTCGGTAGCTCTTCCCACTTCAGCATATGCTCTTGAAGGCCTAAGCTGTAAGGCGAGAGAAGCTGGGTGTACTTTTGTCCCTCCTCGGGTCCAGAATACACGATGTTGACAGCCATGTAGAGCTACGAGGATCAGCAACTATGAGTACAAATGTTGACGATTTGGACTTACCTCGGAGGTTGTGGCATTCAAAGTCAAGAGGCTCATAAGAGATAGCTTCTCATCCAGCGCTGGAACCAACAGATTGTTAGTAATCTCCACGACCTTCTCGATTGAACTCTTGGCAAATATCATGTCTGCACTATAGTGAGCGCCTCCATTGGTCGCAAGCCAAGTCTAGTATGTGGACTCAAAGACAATGCTATAGTTCTGGCCAGAGCCTCGGATGCCCCCAGAATAAATCCAGGTGCTGGTCAACAGATGCTTCAATGATCCCATTCCACAGCACCAAGCGGACCTTACGGAGAGCGTCGCTAGTCAGTCCGTATAAGCCCTGGAGGCAGTCCAAACCTCCGTCGAGAATAGCTCCCGTTGCGCCGACACAGTGGCACGTGCCCACGGCTGCAACAGTGTTAGCATGGACGTGGAATAGGTGGTATAATTGAAATGACATACTCAGCTCTCTTCCCGCAGCGCCCACAGCGTTGATCAAGTCGCCAAAATACACACCCGTGCCGACAACGACTGTGCTGTCAGACTGGAACTGGACCTGGCTAACATTCTCCAGGTTGACCAAGACGGCATCCTGGGTCGACTGGAGAGTTGGAGAGAACCCATGTCCTCCCGACCTGGCCAGCCACGACATGTTCTTACTCGACATGAATTTGAGCTACATGCCATACCGCCAGCATTAGTTTCCATGATCCCCAGAGGTAATCTACATGTACTTATACCCAAGGCGAGATCATGTTCGTTCTTTGGGATAAACACTTCCTCAAATGTCGGCGCCCTGTATGACGGCCGCCGCTCCGTTTTATTCGCAAACTCCGGCCAGGACTCGCCGTGAATCTGATCATCCAATACCGAAGGCCACACCAAACCGTTAGATGGAGAGTTACCCCACGGACTAAAGTGCTCATCCGCCAGCGGCGAGCTCGAGACAGTGTTAACGGCCAGCAGCAACGATAGGGCCCGGAGAATCACAAAACGGACCATTTTTGCGGTTAGAAACTAGAATTCAAAATGGATTGAGTAAATTATCTACAACACAGGGTGCTCACCCGTTTTTATCAGGGGTTCCTTGCGCCGTGGCCCCTTCCGGCTGCCAAATGCTTTTAGTCAGCACTAGTATTGATCCTTTCCTTGCTAAAAGACCGAGCCAAACCTGGCCTGGTCTATATCCCATGTGAAGGATGAGAGCACAGACATTGGGACCCAAGCTACCAACTTTGAAAAATACAAGAAGACATCGGACGCTTTGAGGAATCCCAAAAGAGAAAACTATATGTGATTGGCCAGATGTGGGAGTGCAGGTGGGGTCACTATCCAGATTTTGTTGGCTCTGATTGGTGGAGATGCGGTGACCCTCGGGAGGCTCTGCGCTATCCGGGACTAGTCCCAAAGAAGACATATCAAATGAAAGCGGTCTGGCACAGGACATGTGCGTGTTAAAGCGAAAGAGACCTTCTGTACTCTGAATATAAATGAGAGATACTTTAATCTGTGTGACCTTCAATTGGAGTTGCTCAAAACTGTTGGTTTCGAGGATTGTTCTCAGAAAGCGCATGATATTGCAAAGCTGTAATGGCATCACAAAGCTTGCAAATTAATTTATTTGATTTTGTGGTGAAATGTATATTGGAAATCAAATTGAGTGGAAATTTTAAAACGTTAATGCCCGAACAGCGTAGTGGGGACGGTAAAAGCTACCGGTTGGTATATCATCAACTGCCAGAAATAGTCTGGATGCATATACTTAGGGAAATATACAAAAAGCCTGTCAAGCTGGCGCGTGATGCCACGTTCTTATGAATATGGTATACCTTTTTGAAGATCTATCTAACATGAATGCACTATAGATATCGTCCATCCTTTATAAAGGTAAAGCCCCTCCCTATACACCCTCTCCAAGATATTCATCTACATCAATTTTACGGTAAACATTATTCAATCGCAATGACTTCGACAACTGACCAGTCTCAATACAATTCACACGAGGTTCAGAATTGTGTCTAATTGGCACTAAGCTCTGACCCAACTGGATCGCAGAGTCTCGACGCCCACAGTACCATTGTCAAGCAAACTATCAAGCAAATGCTAGATAGGATTGGATTTGAGTCTCATCGCGTACCCTTCAGCGTGGACAAGGAAATATAATTACGAGTACGCGAAGACTTCAACAAGCTAGATCTGGACCCCAAGTCCTTACAACAAGCCGAGCAAAGATTAGTCCTATGCGCCACTCTGACCCATCAAGCATGGACAGGCTTAGCACAGGATGTGAAAACGATGGTTGTAAAGCAGATGCTCTACATGTTCTTGATCGATGACTTTGCAGAGGACTTCATGGAGGATCTGACGAGATTCGGTAAACGATCAGTACTATATTTATGATTGAAGCTATGATTAGTGCATAGACATTGGCTTACAAGCGTTAAAGATTCATCGTTCATGCACCACATAATAGCCCTATTCTGCAGACCTTTGATGACCATCCACGAGCTTTGGGTACCTGGTACGGACCTTACAGTGTGACTGCAATCGTTAAGAACTCACTTGAGTATGTGGCTGGCCGCGTTGTTGAGCACCAGATGCTGGCTTCGCAGTTTCATTTTTCACCGGCGATGAAGTTGGTCCCGGTATTACTACGCCCCAAGGTCGGCGGCTCAGAAATCGTAGCCCATATGGTTTACGATCATGCTCGATTTCCTGAAGATCAATACCTACTCCAGTATCTTCCTGCCGTTCCGGCCATGATGCATTTTGTGGATTAGATCAACGATATCCTCTCATACTACAAAGACTTTGTTCTTGAGGACGAGAAGTTCAACTTTGTAGAAAATTTTGCTCCATCACATGGCCTGAGTCATATCCAAATCCTGTGCGGCCTGGCGGATCATAGTGCAGAGGTAAGTGTTTTCAAAGCAATTCTCATTTGCAAATAGCATATTAATATCCTCGATAGATTCATGCATCTGGTCGGCAGGTGGTGTCTCATGATACTAAACTCCTTGAAGCCTACGACCAATGGATTATAGGTTTTATTCCGCTCTTCACTGCCCATAGGCGATACCATCTTGTGGAGCTGTTTGCTGTCGACGGTTACCTACCTCCATAACACGAAGACTCTTAGTTGGCATCGTTTCTTCGGACTGGAAAATTGCCGATATCACCGGGGGGGGGGGGGGGGGATGTTCGTTATAGAATGCAGGAATAAATAACCATACTATTCAGAGCTTGGAAGGTAGATGCTGAAGCAGTATTAGACACTTGCACTTGCATCTAAACAAATATTCCAGTTAAGATGCTTGGGCTTTAGGTGGTTTAGGAGAAACCCCCAAAGAATTGCATCCCCATCCTACGAGGGTTTTTATGGACCAAGATTACCAGTATTTTAGCTAGCAGGAAATTGCCTAGATTTAATGCTATCTGTATTTCTATATTGATCCGTAGGATTCTTAGCATATCGTGCAAGTTTAATCGTGACAAAGGAGATATCTAGTCTTGTTGATACCATTAACCAGATCAATGTGCCGATTTTTGTTTGAAATTCCTTAACTTCAATGATCATAGCTTGTCCGCCATCAGATCGAGCAAGAAGCACTTCTTTCTCATTCATTGGAGTTGCGACTGGCTTACAGTTTTCAAGGCCAAATCGTAGGAGAATCTTGTTAATGTAGTCACGCTGTGACAGATGAATTGCTTCATCTTCTCGATAAACATCAATTGCAAGATAACGTTCCAGAGGCCCTTTGTCAGAAATGTCAAAGTGCTTTGAAACCAGATATGTAGGGACTCGAGCAATGCGACAATGGAGATTTTGTAGCAGTTGCGTAGTTATTAAACCCAAAAATCCCACAGAACATTCAGAGTGGTACGTCTCTCCTCGATGTATGTGAGGATAACGTCACGGAGGTACGGAGGTATTCTTCCAATGCCTCAACTTCGTCATTACTGAGAGTAATTTCTGGCACAAGCGAAGCGAGCGTTGTTTGGCGGGCAGCCCCCCCCCCCCCCCCCCCCGCCGTGGAGACAGCCGCGCCGGTGCTGCGTAGGTTTGTTCATATATTAGCATAGCTCCTGAACAAAACCTGGAAGTCGAAAGGACATGAAGGGCTTTTGGCCATTATGGCGCACCTCCGCTGTAGTGAAGAGGGATGTTTGGGTGCTTCCTTCCATGTAAATGACCGAGGAGGATTTGGAATTTGAGAGGGTATTTAACTTACTGGATGCGGTGGAGGAGGTACCATCGGGGGTGGTGGGAGGGTAGATACTGGTCTAGCACGATTGTCAGTTTATATTCACATCTTGGTAGTTGATTAGGCCTCTGCTGGATCAATGAGAAAAAGGAGACTAGGAGGGTATATCGATAGAAGGTTTTAATCTTCTTCAACGATAGAGCGACTCAGACAAGATATGTCGGCTTTGTCAAGTAGAGTCTTCCAGTAGGAGTTGTGAGTTGTGTGTGAGGTAGGGCGAGCACCAGTTAGCAGGGTCGGGCATTGCCAACCCAGCGCAGAAAGGTCAATCATGGGATAGAGAGCGTGAATAGGAGCAATAAAGGCATGTTTTCATGCTCGAATGATTGTCATATCAATGGGCAATGGGTTAGGATGGGATGGGTGAGAGCTTGGGCATGGGTGACCACATGAGACATGGGTATCAAAAAAAGATGAGACTTACAGGGGTTGCTTTTATCTCGGACATGGTGGTAATGCTGTTAAAACTTTGAGGAAATAATGAGATTTTAGGATTATCTGTGGCTAGGAGCAGGATATTGGAGAGGAAGAGGAAAAAGAAAGGGTAAGGGGAAGCAAACCCAGTGAGTTTGCAATTAAGAAAGAGATACTTCCACGCGCGGACACTAATAATAGTATTTAAATGATATATGAGAGTGTTTCGTTTGATTTTTTATCATTTAGTTACTTCGTACTGGGCATCGATCATGACTGGACACCACCGTTCGAGACAGGGAATAAGCAGTTTACCAGGGACGCTCTCCTGGCTGATATATAGGTAATTTAGGGTTCATTTTATCAACCGTGCCATCTCTCGTTGAGTCAAGTCAAGGACAATAATATGTGACTTGAATGATATTTATATTGTCATGGCTACTAGCGAAGGGGAGGAAGAGGAAGAGGAATCATCGTTATTCAATCTAAGACAAAGCAGGGTATTTATACCTGTCTAACAAACAATCCACTCAGTCTGCAAGCAAATGGGAGATGAGATCATTCAACACATATTGAAGTTATATAAGGCTTAGTGATATCAAGAGAAGGCGCGCAGTGACCCAGTGGTTTTCAATAAACTCAGTAATAATAGGTAAAAATTCATTGTGCTTCCTCAGTCAAGTTCAGTTTAGGGGAAGAAGAGTTGCCGGGTGAGCCATGTCCTTGACCGTGTCAGAGCTACCTATGTTCGAATATTAGCATCGCTTCTCAACAAAACCTACAAGTTGAGAAGATATGATATTCAACTCAGCGACGGGGGAAGTGAAAAGGGCCAGTAAGGGAGATGGCTAGGAGGCTTCTAACTACTATGCCTATCTGAGAGTACATATCTATTATCTCTCACTTTCTAGTCAGTTTGTATTCACTTATTGCTCACTTATTCTTCACTTTGTAGTTACCTATATAGGATCAAACCATTCCCCTCTCTTCCATCAATATCTCCCTTACATCCATGTAATCCTCATTATCCTTATCCAAGACAAAATCCTCCTGTAGTTTATCAAGAATCTCCAGCACATAATCCTGACAATCCCACTCAACCCTCTTATTGTCTACCGGCACGCTTTGTGCAGCACTCTTTACTCTCTCAATATCGTCCTCTCCAAGCACAGCAATGAAGAACTGGCGCAGAAAAGTGCTTGACTCTTCCGGGTTTTCCATGAATGTGTTGCGTTTGAATTGTGAATGCTCGCCATCAACTTCGAGAATGTGATGCTCTTGGCCCTTCTCTATGTGCAACGCCCAGTGCAGGAAGTTTCCATAGCGTGGTCGGTAGAACACAACAAAGAGCTTTGGAGACATTGTGTTTGCTTGGCTTGACATCTTAGCTATGTTGTTGCCATAGGGTTCACGGGTGCCTCGTTCATAGACAGAGAGCGCTTCTGCAAACTGTGGGAAACAGTTATGGGTGCAGGCAGACAAGGAGGGGACAGTGGATACAAAGAAGAAGAGAGCAAGTTACGTTCTACCTAGGCATGTATGTAGGTATTTGGTCCAATCATGCATGGTTGCCTAATGCAAACATGCCTGATAGATCAGGATTTGATGTACTTGAAAAGGGCTGGTTTAGAAATATGGAAATCAATTTTGCTTTCGCTCATCGAATGGCAGCGCCTAGAATACAACCTATGGGATATCAACATTGGAAACAAAGATCTTGACGGTATTGATCCTCATTAAAGATCAGATGAAGTGGAAGATACCCTGAAACGCCTTATACTGTACACTCTGGGATACCATATGTAAACATTGAAGTCAAATTCTCTCAGCCAAAGAGATACTTCTGCCAGCTCTGTTTCCAAGGCTTCCAGGTCCCCCCAAACCGATGGTTAACACAAGCATGCTGGCTATGGAAGTTCTCCGATCCAGAATGCCGCTGTCCATTACCCCAAGCGTTGACAGGTAGAACACACAGTCCTCCCAGATGCTTGCCAGACTTGGCCTCGGGACCTTCGACGCAGAGTGGTTCTTGAATCCCGTGGAAAGGCGCCCACGTCACACGCTGTACAGACGAACCCGAGGATGAGAATCCAGCGTCTGCATCCACAGATTGCTGAATTAACCAATGTGTAGACGGCAATGTATCGGATAGCACATCGAGAATGGCATCTGTAAACACACCCGGGCCGGTAATCTCCAGCGTATCCATTTCGTTGTATCCCCCATTCCAGAAATGACTCCCGTCGAGACGTTGCTTCGTGTGGGACAGTACTCTGACGATGATCTCCCTCAGAAGAGGACTGAACCGTCGTGGTGCATACATTGTGTACTGGATGAAGCCGTAGCGTCGGGCCCAGTGCCAGTCGTGCATCTTCTGTGGCGAAGCGAAAGGCTCGTCAATCTCAATTCCGACGACTAGCGTGATATTCGCGTTGATTTTGTTGTCTTTGAAGATTGACTCGCGCAGTGAGGGACATGATCTGATGCTTCGTGCGGGATATACGTCGAGATCCGCATAATAGCCACCGTAGTACCATAAGATCAAGTAGCGGAGGAGATCACCGCGGTGGACGGAGTGCGGGTATGATTTGTAGAGCTGGCCGATTTCCGGGATGGATTCGAGAGTTTCGAAAATGAATTTGTCGGCCCAGTCGGCTTGTACGAGCTGTGGGGTTGTAAAAGTTAGTCGTAATTCGAGCTGATATTGAATTATCGAGATCTGAATTGTTTGTCCTACTTTGTATTTCCATTCTGAGTTTTTCTCCTCGAATTGAATTGAATCGTCGCTTCGCTGGGTGATGGCGCCTGGTAGCATAATCTGCCACAATGTGTCTGCCGCATTCTCATCGTGGCGCATTCCCCTTTCTATCTCAATAGCGCGTAGCGCATTGGAGAGCTTGGCCTCATATTCATAGTCTGGGTTTGCACGAAAGGTGGACTGGTGAAGATATCGTGGCCGGTCTTGCCCGTATGACTTATCGGTGCGGGAGTCTAGCCTCGATGTTGGCGAGGGTAGAGACTTGAAAAGAATGAATAAGGTCAGAATCGCGGCTACCAGCACATATTTATGCCGGTTTGAAGACCCTAGAAACGAGCGATTCCTCATGGTGAATGAACATAGCTATAACACATCGTCCATGGGTAGATTGAGCGGGGGATTTTCCTTGATCTGTCAGCCTAAGCCCCCAAGAGACCTCATCTCGTTTGTTTCACCTGATTGGTGTAACTTCTATGGAGCCTGGATAAAGGCGTGGGGAGATTCACTTGGCGTTATGGTATTTGGGGATATAGGTAGATAGGATTTTATAAATTGTGAATTGTGATTTTCAGGTTCGGCAATCTCTGTCTCGTATATATCTTGAAAGGAAGATGCGTAGAACATTTCTGATTTGTTCTGTGGGGTTGACCCGTGAACGTCTTGGCATACCCGTGGACTCTCTTGGCATTCTATATCAGGAACTATGGAGCGATACCGAGCAAAAAGCTTGGCTATACTTGTATAGCATCATTTTATTAAAAAAGATTTATAATCTCGTAGTTATGATTCTTTCAATTCCTTCTTTCAACTCCTTCTTTTTTTTTTCTTTTTTTTTTTTTTTTTTTTTAATTCTTTGCTGGCAAACATGGCCTGTGGTAGATTTTGCTTGATCCTTTTCAACCCCCAAGACGCGTAAAGCATCGAATTTCGAAATCACGTGTCGAAATAGCTAAGCAACAGTACTCTTAACCACGAGACCGTTCTCTCCTTTCTCTCTTTCCTTTTAACTCCCCTTCATCGTCAGTTGTAACAGTGTGTATGCTATCTTCTGTATAGGAGATAGCAAGCGTCCACCGGTATGCCTGACCTCCACTGAACGAGACATGAGAGCATAAACTTACAACTTGATCTAGAAAGATGTCAAACAATACAAGCAGCGGCCCTGGTGCCATCCCGAGACAGATCGCAAGACAAATCAGGCAACAGAGCCAAACCCGAGGGCGTTCAGCAGGACGATCTGGCCTATCAACCTCTCAGAACAGTAGCTACCGAGCTGCTCCGTACCATAGCCCTATCCGACCTGGTATGGGCAGCAGCCGCTATGCCACTGTCCCAAATAATGTGGAAGATCCATTTGAGCCCGACCTCATGGAACTTGATCCAATGGAAATCGACACCCCCGCCCAAGATCCTCCACCAGCCACCACTATGACTCGCATGACTGAGGAATCTGGAGAGAATGGCATCCACCGCCACCTCTTCTACATACCCATTCGATCTCGTCCTATGCCAACTCTAGACCTTGACGTGTTAACTGCTGCTCGGGCCGAATTGACTCGTCTTCAGAGAGCAGGAATGCCAATTATGCAAGCACTACCTGAGCGACCTGCACCTCATGTCTACATCCGTATTGATACTGACCAAGCCAACCGTGATCACGCCCTTACTGATGTCAATCTTCGGATGGGTATCATGCAGGACATGATCCGAGATGGCTTCGGCTGGTTTACGGGCCTGCCTTATCGCCACCCACATTTCGAAGTCAAGTTCCTTCGTGGTCGACGCCTCTAGATTGAGACTTTGTGACTCGGTGTGTTTATGAACTTTATTCACACTGTTTAGGGTAAAGAATTGGGATTGATGAGCTTAGTACGGGCTCGGTTGTGAGGAATTTGAGGTGCTTTGACAGCCAATGTGTTCTTGGGTGACCAAGATCCATTGGTAAGATATTTTTCCTGTTGTTCCTGCAATTCAATTCTGTCCCTTCTTCTCTTCTTCTTTCTTCTTACCCTTCTTGTCATATCCAGATAGCCACAGATACTATTCTTCATGATTTTACTATCATTCATGGATCATAAAAGCCTACCTATTTGGCTGCATAGTATCTGCGAGATCAAGAATAGAGTAACCAGTGATGCATTCCAGGATGTCCCGCAAACCTAATTAGCGAACCTCGAGTGATCCCAAACACCATATCCTCATAGCTTAGTCTCTAGACCGCCATCACAAACTCCAGCAATGCAATTTCCACCCAATCCCATCAAAAGAAAAATGACAACCCTTCACTTATCCACTGGACGCAACGCTAATGTAGTCTCGCTCTTTTCACATCCCTGCCAGGCCCGTTCAACGGCCTGAATAGTAGGCCAGACTTGCTCTCGAGCATCCTTCCGACTAACGCCCTCCTCGAGCAACATCTCATAAGGCGTATGGACATGTCGGATATGCGCCTCAACAGCCAAGATCGTCTTTCGATCGTCACTAATCATCGCTGTTCGCCCTACACGCCCCGATCCCTTGAGGAAGGCATGTTCCAGGACTATTTTGAGGGTTTCCTTGGGCATACGCGGGAATTCGCTCTTCAGGAGTTCTCGGGATTTGGAGAAATCCTTGGCGTCACGCACTTGCACGGCATTGGCGCGCGATTCTTGTGTTGCTGCGGCTGATTCAAGAACCTCTGTATAAATTTCTTCAGGAACTCGGATTCCCAGCGTTCTTTTACCCGTGCGGTTCTGGGGCTGTTAGTAGTCCATTTTAAGGCTTGAAACTGGTGGTTTGGATGAGGACTTACGTAGACGACATAGACAATCCGCTCGGATTCCTTGGTCTTACTGCGGCAGTGTCGTGTGATATAAACATCACCCTTGGGGACTAGAGCGTAGCCATCTGGCATGGGTACTTTCTCAACAATGTTCTGGTTTCAAGTCTCAGCGTATTATCCTTCAATAGTGATACGACTCAAATTTACCTTTTCGAGTGGATCATCAGAGACAGGAATAAGGGCTGCCCATGTTTTCTTGGGTTTACGCTTCGTCGTCTCATTGAGCACTTCGGCAAGCGGTTGAACTGGTGAGCCTGCATCTGCTGGACGTGCATGACCTTCGCGAGTGCGAATACCACGGTTCCTCTTTCTCACACGTGGCTTGCGTTTGCGGACTTTGGGCTTAGTGGTTGGTGCCATGTTGAGTGTTCATGGAGCCAAGGAGGTTGAGGAGTTGATGGTTGACACGGTGTTGAGATGTGACTCGCACATCGATTCCATGGAGGGGGATATAATGGCAACACCGAGATATGTTTTTCATTCAATGTTATTTTTGGACCTGAAACACTTCAGGGTCTTTGATACTTCCACAGTATGATCAAAGCAGAGCAGGAACGGTGGCTGTGTGTGGCTGTGTGGAGCCTCATTTTGATGCCTGGATAATCAGGCCCCAAATAATGCAACAACGTTAAGTACAACCGGTCTTTCTTGCATCTACGGAGTATAAGAAATCAATTGTACTCAGATAATGATGTCTCAATTATCAGTGCAATATATATGCCGGATCTATATCGTACAAAATATGGGCAATTTCTAGTCTCCACCTTGAAATCCGGCTATTACTACTTTAGGCGAAGTTGATACATCTGCTCTCTCAAATTTCAAGCAGGTTCCCGGTTAATTGTCTTTGATTCCAGACCAGATGTCAATTGACTGGTCAAGCGTGGTGTTCCATATGAGATCAGCATAAACTGGAGAACCGATTATCCGGAGCTCATTGGTCAGATCCATCACCCTAGGGACAGATCCTATAGGATAAGATTGGGATCATCAGATCTCCAGATTGTGAGATCGGAGTTGAGCTTTAAAGGTCAAGACCAAGACAGTTTTCAATGTCTATTGTATTGAATAGCGATGTATAACATACACAGTACGGAGGATACACAATCCTAACAAGTATGAAGCGAATACGGGGAGCATGGAGCAACTAATATAATCTTTGGGCACAAAGAGACGCCAAGAGGGTTTGCCAGGGGCTTAGCTCTCCAAAATCCAGATTACCCCAGTTGAACACGTTGAATTTGCCCCTTTCCAGGGGGCTCTAAAGTGGAATATCCGAATAGTCTGATATTCCAATATTCTGAAGCTATGAAGCTATGATGCTACACATGTATACACAACCCAAAGCTCCAATATTGGCTCCATACCACATTACACAAAATACTATGTCCGGAGCCTCCATATCTGACATGTCGTCATTAAGACTGGTTGCCTAAAAGAGCTGAACCGGCATCCCCGAAGGCTCGGGCTTTTTGTATTCTACAATATACAAAAGTAGGTCTAGATCGACGTTACAGGGGAAGGCCTAAGTCCTAACTGAGCACTGATGTAAGTACATACTCCGTACTCCGTACTCATATCCTGTTCCTGCATGAAGCACAACATACCGGAACATGACTGTGGATCAAATAAAAAAAAAATCCGAGTCCCCACGTAAAGAAAAGAAAAAAATTTATATAAGAATGAATTAAAAGAATAAACTAGAATTTTTTCCCTTTACAAAAAAGAAGAAGAAAAAAACCGACAAACAGAGCAAAAGAAAAACACTCTCCGACTCTCCGACTCTTCAACTTCTCCTTCCCATACACTCTTTACTACAATATGAATTAACTCCAATGATCTTACGCTCTTCCTATCTCTCACATTCTCAAATTAAAGTTGCCTGGCAGCTTAATCTTCAATGGTTACTGGCCCTGTGTTGCTGACATGAGTTGGGATCACCCTGTCCACAGGTATGCATTCTCCCTTGACCCCCTTGTGGGGGTGTCACATTGTAGTCTTCTCTTTTTTTTTTTCAATCTATACTATATGCCTATATGAAAAGACGCTCATGGATTCGTTTATGTTTAGCTTCAGCTATCCCAACGGTGAGCCTCAAACTCCGACGAGGACTCAGTACACCTTCGACTCGTTCCACACCCCAAAACTCGAATCCAGCTTTTTTGATCCCCGAGTGACCTGGGATACCTCCGATCCATATGCCTCCAGCCCAGAGCTCCTCCGCACACCACAGAAGTTTGGGCTAGGCTCGTCCAATCCACTGAAAAGTCACAATGGGGAGACTACCGGTTACAGGGGGAGGTCCTCGGACCAGACCGATACGGCCAGACGGATTCGCCCGATGAAGCCCCTTCCGATGGGCGAGGATTATCCTCGGACAGTGGGATCGGCCAAGTCAGCAGCGTCAATGCAAACCCCGCCGCCGACAAGTGCATCGAGGCGAAAAATTCCCGAGTTTGACCAGGCCGAGGGACATACACAAGGAGGAACCCCGGGCATGGGAGGGCATTTGGAAACACCCAGTCGTCTTCTCGGGGCATCTCCTCGAATGTTTGGTAACCTCCAATCGTCGCCCGATCTTTTTCAGCTGGCGTCATTGGACCCCACGGGCTCGCCTTTCTTCCCACAGCAACGACTCTTCTGGGATCATGATCTAGACAATACAGCGAGCGAGATTCCCTTGCCCAGCAACGGGGACAATTTTCACGCTCGTCATACTTCCGCCTTTACAAACACACATCACATCCCCCAATTACCAAACATTGGTGGTTCAATTGATCTGCCCGACTTTGGCAACGCTTTTGGAATTTCAGCACCACCACCTACTGATGCTGCCCTATTTCCTGCCCCATTTTCTACCTCTCCCCGGCTCCCAGTCACCAAGGCTGAAGATCCAGCTCTGTTCCTTAGCTCCCCTGCTCGGAGGTTCGGAGGACCTCAACTTACACCAGAGACGCGGTCTCTTCGTGGCCTACGACAGCCCTATCACCATCAGGCAGAAGAGTCAAGACGGGAGGAGCTTATCCGTGCACAGGCACCAAATGGCCACCGATCCGACCCTTTCACTGCCTTCCCGAGCGAGAGCGAAGAGGAAGATGACGACTACACACCGAGGGGAATACGACCAGGTCTAACCCGCAGTCTGACACATAACGGTCTACCTAGCTTATCCAGGCCGTTCAGTCAAGCCGGGGGTTTGATGGCATCCACCAGCGGAATCCGAAAAAGTCCATGTAAAGGGCGTTCGTCTCCAGCAAAACCCATGCGCCCAGCCCCCTTGACACGATCTAGTTCGGCAGCCACCGGCTCGTTGACGCGCTCATCGTCTGTAATCCTTCGCATCGGTCGAGATGGCCGTGCAAAGGCTGAGATGGAGCCACTCAGTGAGGCTCCTACGGGGTTGACTGATCCCCTGACCGGGCTTGATCTAGATGGCTCTACAACCGAGAGTGAATCGGATCCGGCTGAGTTCTCGGAATATCCTGTGCTACATCGCGCTCAGTCCTCCTTTTCGCTTTATGACGGCTCCAGGCGTCCACTATCCCGAAGTGACTCGGGCTCCCGGCCTCCTTCAAAGGGGTCCTATGCTTCCACCGTCGGCTCATCACACTCGGGTCGGATGTCACCCTGGGCTGGATCTTCTAGGGCGGGCGGGCGACCAACATATCGAGGATCTCCTGATATTAAGCGGACACCCAAACGGCATTCGTCTCTGCTACACTCGGACTCGACCTATACTAGGAGTAGTGTTGCATCAGACTTGTTGCCCGGGGAGGACGATGAGAGTGGCGATGCTCAATCGGCACTCCGACAGGTCCTCAAAGGACGCGGCCGGGGGCCAAGACCAGCCACAAATGCGTTTGGCAACCGACTGTCTCAGTCATCACACACTTTTACTCATCTCCGCTCATCACCACCCCGCCTTGGGAGTGATTTCGACATACATCCCCGCCACAATGCTTCTCCCACGACCTTGACCGACCCTGATCTTGCAACCCCTAGCACAGAGCGTCACAGCAACCCCAGCAACGGTACAAGATGTGTCTGCCGCTCGATGGATAACGGTGGTCATCTCATGATTCAATGGTGAGTACCAGTCTCCATCGGCCCTGATTCCAAAGTCGATTGTACTAACTTTCCCAGTGAATCGTGTACACACTGGCTGCATACCAGGTGCGTTGGACTGGAGCGTGCAAACCTGCCCTCCATCTATGTCTGCGTCTTTTGTGCTCAAACAACACCATCCCGACAGCACCGTGTCCGAACATCTTATGTTCCCACGGGGCAAGCTCCTCCTTCTCCTTTGGCTCACAAGTCATTCCGCTTCCGGTAAACCTGGTGCGTTGACTACCATCTTGGATGCATACATGTCTTGGAAAGACCGGTGCCTCTTGATTTCTTTTGTGTGATTCTTTCCCCAACCGGGCTCTTTTTACTCTGCATTAGCCGGGCCACCCTGCCCCATTTCATAATCGCCCTCAGAACCCCTTTTGAGACCCCTATTACCCACTTATGATACCTATGTACTATTCCCTCACCCTGGATAAACCCAGAATAGAATTATTTCTATACTTCACAACTTCTCTTATTAGTGCAGAACTCCCCGCATATCGGGGTAGCGAACCGGTCTCGGCAGAGGAGCCGGCCCGGGGCACTGTATGCCCGCAAGAACTGGGCTATTTAGTTCCACAATAGCCCATCGGTCCCTCTTCCTTAACTTGATCTCTCAATCTCTCACCTTTACGCTTAATCTCCTAGTTGACTGAACCTCACCCGTGTTTATAGGTCCTTAGCAAAAAGCCCTACCAGGTACCCGGACATTGTATAGATCGGGCTGCAGTCTGATTGGTCAATCCACACTTATCGGCACACCGCCCTTTTTATCGAAAAAGTGGTTTTCTCCCCCGCGGAGTCAGATCGCCTCCCTCTTTTTTTCGCGCGCCATTCACTCTCTTTGGTCCAATTTCCAGTCGTTTGTGCTTCGCCATTCACTCGATCCAATGTCTGCCTCTCTCCCTGGCAGTCGGGACCTGCCCGCGTCGCAGTATGACCTGAAGACCTATTGGGGTCGCGTCCGCCATGCCGCCGACCTCTCTGATCCTCGGTAAGTTCAGATTGAAGAGATTGGTGGGTTTCCCAGTATATACTGATCATGCCAATTATACTAGGACCCTATTCGTTTCGCCATCCGGTCTTGAAGGCGCCAAGAGCCTTATTGCTTCTTACAAGCAGAACCGCGTCCCGGCCATGACACCGGAGTTGTGGTCGGCGAAGAAAGTGGTTGATGCGACACTGCACCCTGGTATGGGCTCATTTAAACCCATACAATAGCCACTGGCTAACATATGACCGACCAGATACCGGAACGCCCGTTTTCTTGCCCTTCCGCATGTCGTGTTACGTGCTCTCGAACTTGGTCGTCACAGCAGGCATGTTGACCCCAGGATTGCAGGTAAGCATCTCTTTACGCATACACAAATATATACAAATCTGAACAATGTACTGACAATATAGACAACCGGCACTCTCCTCTGGCAAATTGGTAACCAGTCCCTCAACGTCGCGGTCAACAACGCAAACGCGAACAAATCCACCCCCCTCTCCTACTCGCAAATCGGCAAGTCCTACCTCATGGCCGTGTCAGCCTCCTGCTCCGTCGCAGTCGGCCTGAACGCCCTCGTCCCCCGCCTCAAGAGCATCTCCCCAAACACTCGCCTCATCCTCTCCCGCCTCGTCCCCTTCGCTGCTGTTGCCAGCGCCTCCGCCCTGAACGTCTTCCTCATGCGCGGCGAGGAGATCCGTCAGGGTATTGACGTCTACCCCGTCCTTTCAGCTGCTGAGCGTGCCAAGCGCGAGCTCAACGAGGACGCCGAGCCAGTTCAGAGTCTTGGCAAGAGCAAGAAGGCTGCTAAACTTGCCGTTGGTGAGACGGCTATCTCTCGTGTCCTGAACGCTACACCTATCATGGTCCTACCGCCGCTGATCCTCGTTCGTCTGGAGAAGACGGACTGGCTGCGTGCCCGCCCCCGCATGGTTACGCCTATCAACTTGGCGCTGATTCTGGGTACTTCGATCTTTGCGCTGCCGCTTGCGCTCGCTGCGTTCCCGTCCCGCCAGGCTATTAGTGTTGATAGCCTTGAGGAGGAGTTCAGGGGCCGTGGTGGTGATTTGGGCATGGTGGAATTCAATCGCGGAATGTAAGTTTTTGATCTTAGGCGTTTCGCAGCGTGCATATTACATTGTCTTTGCATAGGTCAGACAATACATAGACCCGTTTTCCGTTCATAAATGTCAATACTGTTGTCCTTATAGACCATTCAATCAATAATAGGTCCCACTCTACCCTTAAGAATACCCTCAGCCCGCTCCGCAATATCTAGCAATTCATCATCTCCCCAGCGCTTGCCCATCAGCTCCAATCCAACAGGAACACCAAGCACAGCAGACGCAGTCTTAGGGCTCCGCCCAGCTATATTCCCCATGTTAGTCCAATACCAAAAACTGAATAAAACCACCTACCAGGAATACATAGAGCAGGCCTTCCGGTCAACGCAGCCAAAACACCGTTCCGCCCAGATTGCTTATTCGCGCCAATATGTACAGGCAGCTGTGTCTGGTGCGGATATACCAGCGCGTCGATATCGTATCTATCGAAACATTCTTTCACGGACTCTTTGAGAGAAGCAATATACTCGAGTCGACTTCGGTATGCCTCGCTCGTCAGTGAAAATGTCTCGGGATCTTCCAGTGCTGCAGAGAAAACGTGCGTCATGGCTTGTTGCTCGAATTCCCCGCTCTGAGCAATAGACTCCAATGATCGGTGCGGCGTTGATGAAACCAGTGGCGACTGGAGGAACTCATCGAGATAGTGCTTGAACTCGAAAGCCTGGGTATCTGCCTTTGCAAATAGTGTTCCATAACTCCAGTCTGGATGACTAGATGGGGCGATAGGTACCAAGGTGATATCTGCATCTTGTTCCTGTATAGAATTCAAACTCGACCGGATAACATCCTGCACGATCTGGTTCTCGGCAATGAACTCCGATTCCGCAGTTCCATCTGTATAGCTTTCAGGCTGGAAATAAGCCTCCAAGACTCCAATTCGAACTTGACGACCGGATCGAGGTATTCCATCAGATACCTCCATAGAATCCACCTTCCTCCCATTCGGCCCCTTCATAACCCCAAACAAAATTCTTACATCCCCAACACTCCTCCCCATCGGCCCAGCCGCATCCTGCGTCTGGGAGACAGGTACAATCCCTACACACGACACCCTCCCCATCGACGGCCGGAACCCAACAACCCCACACGCAGACGCAGGCGACCGCAACGAGTTCATCGTGTCTGTCCCGCACCCCGCAAGCCCGAAGTTCGCCGCTAGCGCCGCGCCTGTCCCACCGGAGGATCCGCCCGGTGTGCGGGTCTTGTCGTATGGGTTCAGGGTTTGCCCGCCGAGCGAGGAGAGGGATATTCCTTGCAGGGCGAATTCATGGAGATTGGCCTTTGCTAAGATTATTGCTCCTGCGGCGCGTAGCTGGGAGACGACTTCGCTGTCGTCTTTGGTGCGTAGGTTTTGGAGGGCTTTCACGCCTGCGCTCGTTGGTAGATTTGCGGTGCTGTAGTTGTCTTTCAGGATTATAGGCACGCTGTGTAAAGGTGGGAATGGTTTGTTGGTTTGGTTGAAGGTGAGTGTTTCGGTGGCTTTTTCTATGGCGGTCTCTAGGGCTGCGCTGTTTATGGTGATGAGGGATTTGAGAGTCCCGTCGTGCTGCTTGATTGCTTTGAGATATTTGTTTACCAGCTCCGGGCCGATGGAGGGGTCTATACGGAGCAGTTTATGAAATTTGGTGATTGTCATCTCTTCTGCTTGCCACACTGGAGAGTCCATGTTGTTGAGTGGATTGGATAGAGGGGGAATTGGTGTTGAAGTTGGATGTTGACCTCGGGATCTGATGATCGGCGCAATTCATGCACGCCATACATAGATCTGCAATTTAATTGACGGATTCGAGTGTTGCTAATGCATACTTTGCACTGAACTGGCAATTTCAATTGTCACAGAAATGGTCTTGTAACTATATAGAACGTGATGCGGCTTCGGGTTGTTCCGCTTCGATGTATAAAGAAACCGAGACAAGGAGAGTCATATACAGATCTGAAAGAATTAGAAATTGAAAGAAACACATATATACACACATACGGTTAACAAGACGCCACAAACAATCAAATGGTATAATCATCCAGACCTTAGCCTAAACCCTCCAGGGCTCCCAAAGCCGGATTCCATAAACAAGGAAAAAGCAGAGATAACATGTAACCGACGCCTTTAAGAATGGGATAGAAAGGATAGATAAAGCAAATAAAGTAAGACCGAGCATCAGGGGATAGGTCCCTCAAGGATACATGCATCGATTCCGGTTGCTCAAGGGTCCAATGCCCCTGTCATGCAGTGTCACAAAGACAGCCGAAGCCTGCAGCCACCTGCAGGAGTCGAGGGAAATCCCCAGGGACCGAAAAGAAATTAGAAAAGAGAAGAGAAAAAAAAAAAAAAACATCGTGATCATGATTTTCCGAAGTGCAAACACCATTCCGTCCCATCCGCGATAGAGAAAAAGATTACCCTCAAGATGTGAGCCTTCTATCCATAGCTGGATCCTGTTCACGCCGGTTGAATTCCCCTTCTGATGCCGTTGAAAGAGCCGAATATTGGCTATCGTAGCCGTGTAAACTGGATTGGAGGCCTAGGTGCGTGCTTGGCGATGCAATCCTTGGCCGATCCGGTGAGCCTCTGTGCCATCATCAACGAGTGTCTCCTTGAACCACGGGTGCTTCAATGCTTCCTTGGCAGTGATCCGGCTCTTAGGGTCGTAGACAAAGATCTGTTGCAGCAAATCCAGGAATGACCGGTTGAAGGGTGTGTTGGTCGGGATGAACTCCTATAGTAGACGAAATCAGTCAAAGTCCGACAGGCAGATACGCGAAACACTCACTGTCAAAGATTTCATCGCGCGCACATATTTCCGCGAGGCCCGGGTCGTTTCACTGTTGGGGTAGTCGATCTTACTTCGATTGAAGTACCTAGTAAAGTTAGTTCCTATTACAGAAAGATTGAAGGGTCATATTTACTTGGAAGCAGAATTGAGACTACCACTTCGGCCCGCCATGACTTTTTTCACCAAAGCAGTGTCGATTCGATTGCCAATGACGGCTTCCATCATCGCCAGGTGCTCAAGGTTGTCATGTGTCTGGAACAGGGCATCTCCGGTGAAGAATTCCACCAGGATACACCCAATGCTCCAGATATCACATGGGAAGCTCCAGCCCAAGTTCAATATGATTTCGGGGGCCCGATAGTGACGGGTAGACACGACAGACGAGTGATATTCATCATCAAAGGTCGCCGAACCGAAGTCGATGAGTCGGATTTCCCCATCGAGGAGAACGCGGCGTTGCCGCGCATTGCGAGCTGTGGCGTGGGAAGAGGATGGTATAGTGCGGTTGTAAGTGAAAGTTTGATAGGCGTTGCTGACGAGGAGGATGTTTTCGGGTTTGAGGTCGGTGTGGATAAGGTTTAGGTCATGGAGGACTAATAGGTCAGTGGTCTGATATATAGATGTAGATGTGATGGAGAACCTACAGGCAACACTGGTGAACAGCTGCCGGGCAAACTGCTGAATCTGACTGCTCGGGAATGGGACAAAGCCATTTCCCTTGAGGAAATCAAATACGCTTTGTCCCAGTAGATCAGTGACAATGCAGATGTGATTCCGGAAGTCAAAGCAGTCCCGAAGGTGGATGCATTTGTTGCGGTTGCTCTTGTCATTCGAAGCCAGAGTTGACAGGACTCGCAACTCGATTCGAGATGCGTCGCGATACTTTTGGATCGAGCGTATGATTTTGACTGCACAGCGAGCCTTGCGCTGCTTGTCATAGGCTTCGACAACTTTGCCGAACGTACCTTGGCCTAGAAGTTTAATCACAGAGTCTTGAGAGGAGTTAGCATAGTCAACAGGATACCAGAGATCTCTCTTTACTCACATCGATCTGTCAATGGCGTGTCGGGTGTGACAATATAATGACCATCATCGTCGTCAAACTTCTTGTTCTGAGAACTGGTATACTGATCGAGCAAAATTTTGTCAGTGGAATTGCAGGAAAGATCTGGCAAAGATAAAACACTCACATCGCGAACGACCGGCACCGGGACATCCTTTGCTTTGATCGGCGGCTTCGGAGGGGGGACATAACTCAAGAAAGCATCGCCTGCGGTCTCCAACTCTCGTCGCTTCTGCTCGTCGCGGGTAGATTTCCGAGTAGCGCGTTTCCGCTTTTGACCAACAGAGCCATCCTCGTAGTATACCCCACTGCTCGCCCCCGTACTGCCTTGTGAACCAAGCGAAGTTGGAGCTGTGGTGTGTAAAGATGCGGTTCGATCGGTCGATAAGGAGGTGGCGGAGGACTCTTCGCCGTAATGCTGGGGATTGATTGAAAAGGACGGGCGGTCATAGTGACCCAGGTCATAGGCGGTTTCAATCCCCGTCCGTCGCCTCTTTCCAGCAGGTTGAGGAGCCGCAGGAGGCGGTTTGTCCGAAGTAATCACAGGAGGAGCCGGAGCCCCATTGGATGGCTCTGGACCGGGACTGTCATCGATCACAATGACTTCCTTGGGAAGACCATTCTTGTAGAACTCGGTCCAGTCTGGTTTCTTCCTCCGACCCCCAACAGAAGGAGCCGCGCTAGAGCCACTCTGGTGGGTCATAGCCGACGGAGTTGTTGTCGCGGGGGGAATTCTCGGAGGTTGGGTGTAAGGAAGGGTGGTCGTTGTCGGAGAGGGGACGGGAATGGCGTAGGGGTTTGCGAGGCGAGGTCCTGCGGCAGTAGAAGCCGGGTAGGAGGTATTCGGTTGATACGAAGGGTGGTGAGGATATCCGTAAGCCTGATGGTGAGAAGGATGCGTTGCAGTCGCCGTGGACGGGGTGGACATTGTGCACGAAGATATCCTGCCCGTCACCCGAACAGTAGGAAGGAGGAGAAGATTGGTCTAAATTGTGACCGATAGTTCGATATCGCGCGTCACTCAGGGATCTCAAGGCAGGACAAGCCAGCCAGAGAGGAACCAGGTTCGACAGAGATTGAGGTTAAGTGTCTGGAAGGAGATTGGAGACGTGAAGATGACGGGCTGAGGCGGTGGGGGGAAAGAGAGTTTTTTTTTTCTCTCAAAGTTGCATTTCCTCGACAAGTTCACAAAGTAAAGCACAGATTGAAGAACCTGGCGACATTGGTAGAGGGGGGAAAGGGCCTGGAGGCAAAGTGATGATGGAAGAGTCGGGAGAGTTGGGATCCGTTGCCGATCAACTGGGATTTTGGGATTTTTTGGAGATTTGGACCTATTTATTATATATATTCATAATCGATGCTTGAAATATGGTTAATTAATGTTTGTATTGTACTTCTTTGAATTCTTTTAATCCTTATTCAACTTCCTACCGCTTTAAATACATAGGTTAATACGCTATTCATATATTCTCTCTATTCTATACATTGTTAAGCCCTCCAGAGGTTCATGCGCCTCGAGGGAGAAAACACGCGATATTATCTCCTTCCAGCATATCCTGTGAATGTAATTTAAAAGGATCTAGAGTCCTAGAGTCTTTAAGAGGCGCCTCAAGGCGCCTTGAGGGGGGCCCGCCACCGGGAGCATCGCGTCCAAGCCCTGGCTTAGCCGAATCGAGTCCACAAGGGAGAACCATCAATATCAAGAATATCAAGAATATCAAGAATCCCAAGGTCGAAAAGTATATATAACGTTACCCTAGGAAGTTCCAGGAAATGCTGATATCACGACTATGCCGCCCCATATTGATACTACCTCCGGGGGCCTATACATTCCAACTGAGTCAGCATCCAGATTGGCCCGGAAATACACCTTGGAAATCAATTATATATAGGTGTAATAGAATGTGAATGTGGATGAATTGGTCTTCAATGGGCTATTTTTAATATAAGAGAAGGGATTGTATAGAGACAATAGGAAAACGACATACATTGAACGAACCATCATATCAGTTACAGCTGGATTTAATATCTGTTTAATTATCGAGTAACAGATATCTCAAAGTAAGGCAATTCAAAAATAAACCCAAGTTGATACTAGACATGCTAACCACGGACAATATTCAATTGAACGGGATAATAGAGAATATTCGAATGTTTTTGACCGTTGCCTTGACGCTAAACAATTATACTTGAACTGGATATCTTTAGACCTCAGTCAAATGTGGTTGTATCTAGACCGGCCTAGCCGGTTGACAAGTACCTTAGAATCCCCAGGACAATAGATCTACAATTGACTCCTAGAAGGGTACATAGAACATGATACCCATATGATCCACTACGTGTGGCCATACACAAGGGCAATTTATTGAGGTACAAGAAAATTCCCTTCTATCCTCTCAAAAAATGTAGGCTCAACGTGTAGTTGAATGAAATTAAAGATGGCTTCACAACCTGACAACCCCCCTGCTAACGCCACCATACACACACACACACACACACACACACACACACACACACAGAATGCAAGAACTCCTGATGCCTGGAGCCATAGGGCTCCCGTGGGCCAACAAAGAAATTAGGGAAGAAAATAAGATTACAAACAGTTATGACCCGGTCAGTTTCGATCCCGATCCTCTTTAGGATCCTTGAGGTAACCCCTCTGCACATGCCGGGTCGCCCGTCCATCCGCCTCCAGCATGAACAAAATATCTCTAACCTGAATGCCTGCCCCTTTCTCTTGATCTTCACGCCAGATTCCGAGGCGACGCTGAGTCTGACTGGGTGTGGATTCACCGGCACTAGTCTTTTCAGGACCGGCGGTGGGGGTGGAAGGAGTCGCACGTGAAGGAGACGAGAATCCACCGGCCTTGCCGCCAGGCTTCAACCACGAGTATGATTTTTTGGCACCGAACATACTGCGGCTACCCCCGGACAAAGCCATTCGGGCCGTTTCAACAGACTGTGCATGTTGTTGGGCCTCGGTGGCTTTGGAATCATGCATTTTCTTCGCTTCTTTTTTGGTGACTGACTTTTTATCGAGACTAGGCGCCCTTTCGCCGAGAGGCGTTGAGGGGGCGGAGCCCATTGGATCAATAGACTCGGCTCGACCAGCCTCATCAAGAATGGCATTGCTGTTGCGTTTCGCACGCTTTGCTGCGCGCCTTTCCTCTTGCGAACTCTCCCTGTGGATGAATGCTCTGTATCTTGCCGCATTGGACTTTGCGCTGGAGGATTCAATAATAGCATGAGGACCTGCCAATTTAATTAGTATCAAGTCAGTTGAGTGGGTATGAGCAAAATCGTACGTTTCACAGGGGTTTGAGTGCTTCCCGTAGCCTGCACAAGGGGTTTCGCGACGTCTTTCCACTCATTGGGAACTACGCCATGAGAATGTGCTCGGCGACTTCGAGCAAGAGTCGAAGCGTAGTCGATAACGCCCCTGAATCTTTCCTCGGTGGAAATAGATAGAAGATTCAGGATGTCCACGAGAGGAGCACCTTCCTGGTTGAGAATTGTCTGGCCGGTGCGCACTACAGAAGAGCCATCCGGTCCAGTAACTTCAATCGGTTGTGGTCGGCCAGGTACGGGGTGAAAAAGGCCTTCTGAGGGAATTCGAACACCAAGGTCAAAGCCTCGCTTCTGGAGCTTCTGCTCGAGAAGCTTGGTGATCAAGAATGGTTCTTGGATGTGATACTGTGCTCGCCTTGCTGCAATAGTGTCATCGCGAGTCGGTTCATTGGGATCCTTGAAGGGAGTATGTGCCTGGGAGTGGCCGGTGAACGAGTCGTGTGTAATCGCCGGTTTGATTTGAGGCAAATCACCGAAGCTGGCTGAAGCTGAGGGCGTTCCCGGGGTAGAGCCTTGAGACGTGAAGGAGGTGTTGATAGGTGGCGGGTATTGAGACTGTGGTCCTCGGTGGGGAGGCTGCGCCTGCGCATTCTGCCCTGAAAAGCTCTGTGTGAGAAATGCTTCCTCTTCCCTCACATCGATTCCAGATGATGCTAAAACATCTGTCAGCTCAGCGGCATCCGTTGTTTTGTCCGCTGGGCGAGAAGGGGGGCCCATGGTCCCGGGAGGAGCGGGAGCAGGTGTCGAAGACATGTTCATATTCATGCTCATATTCATCGGCGTTCCGTTCATTGGGGATGGGTTTTGTGGTAGCTGCACCGCGTTGAAGCTCGGAGAACCGTAAGGAGACTGCGTTTGAGAAGGCGGCAGGGGAGAGAGACGAGGTCGCTTGGATGGAGGAGGTGCAGCGCCTCCATTCACAGGAGATGCTACCGAATTTGGGGATGGGGACGAGACAGGTGGGGAGAAAGGTTGTGAGGAAAACTGCGGCGGCGGGGGTGCCTGCTGTTGTGGATGCCGAGCTTGTGCCATTGTGACGTGTGACTACCCAGTGAGAGCAAAATTGTATTTCAGATGAGATAAAGGCTATTGCGCCGAGCGGTCGTAGCCTTGCAGATGAATCGAGGTCCACGCGTGGCCGTTAAATTGAGCGGATTGCTCGCACCACCAGCTTCCACCACCTTTGACCATCTCAATACTGAATTCAAACCATATACGCGGCACGTGAATCGTAAAATAGTTGGCTCGAGCGCAAAAGTAACAGTTATCGGGGAGACAGAGATACGTGATGTGGTAAGGAGCTTTCTAGGTGGTCGAACTCTGCTCCGCGGATCGCGGATCGCGACACACGTGACTATTGACTAAGCTCTCCAAATCTGCGGGTGTTCAAGTGAGGTTTCGTCTGCTGCCAAAGAGATCACTCTTCTATTGAATCACAGTCTTCACGGGTGCATTGATATCTGTTTTAAATACTGAGCAGCTGCACCTCTTATAACCTTTGTTGCGCAAGTCATGGATGTTGCGCGAAGCTCATATTGATATCCTGAGCTTTACCGTGCGACGCGGGTACTAGTGCCATTCAACTAGGCTTCTCAAACTCATACTAAGAAATCTGTCAATCTCCTGACGCCATACCCAATTAATCTCGACACCATGGCCTCCAAGCGCAAAGCTTCGTCAATGGGAACGGCCATTGACGATGAGCCCGTTGACCCATCAGACGAACTGGCATTCTACTGTCTCGGCGGCGGCAATGAAGTTGGACGGAGTTGCCACATCCTGGAATATAAAGGCAAGACAGTGATGGTAAGTCTCTTGAATGAGAAATGAAGTCGCAAATACTGACTCTTGACTTCTGTAGCTTGACGCGGGCATGCACCCGGCAAAAGAAGGGTTCTCTGCACTTCCTTTCTTTGATGAGTTCGATCTGAGCACAGTGGATGTTCTTTTAATCAGCCAGTACGTGCGTCTCTTTTATTTACATAATATCTGGAATGGCAAACTCGAGGCATTCTACACTTACCCATATGAGGCTGGGTTATTTGGTGGTCTACTGCCTCAGCTGCCTCAATGGAACACATTCCCCTGCATATATATGAGAAAGCCCAATACAATTCAATGTCATGCATATATTTCTTGTATTACTGTACCCTCCTGGATTTCGAATTCGAGTTCTCCTTCGGCGCGTTCATTGTTATCGCAGTTGACTAACAGGCCTGATTTGTATAGTTTCCACGTTGACCATTCATCCGCCCTCCCATATGTTCTCAGCAAGACAAACTTCAAAGGAAGAGTCTTCATGACTCCGGCAACCCGAGCCATCTACAAATGGCTCATTCAAGACAATGTTCGAGTCAGCAACACATCCTCTTCCTCCGATCAACGCACCACGTTATACACCGAGCGTGATCACTTGTCAACACTTCCCATGATTGAAACCATCGACTTTTACACAACGCATACGATCAATGGCATCCGTATTACCCCGTATCCTGCCGGACATGTTCTCGGTGCTGCCATGTTCAAAGTTGATATTGCGGGGCTGGTGACTTTGTTTACTGGAGGTAAGTTTGCCTTGTT